TTTTACATTAACCATGCCGTCGGTCAGTATTGCCCCTTTTCTGAGGCTATTCTACGTGGAGCGGTATATAGTGGACGAACCCACTAACATGGCCTAGTAATTGGAAATGTGCACGGAGCCTTAGCACGCGCGCTCTTGATGTGCCACGACGAGAGCATCCCTAAGATAGGACCTAGTCGAATTCGAGCCCGACAAAAGCTAGATGTAAGGAGTTCCGTTTTTTCTCATAATCGCTACTAAAGGTCTAGCTGACATCGAATCCTTAGAACGACATTCGTATGCAAGTCCGAGAACTATGTGGCGCCGCACTATCAAATAAGCAGACGATACCAGCCATGTTTACGGCCTGCATGGGTGTCACCGCGTGCGGGGACAGATTCGTCGAGTATGCTGAGCAAAAGGCACTATTGGACATTTTGGTGAAGACGGATGTCCAGCACATGTGGCCCACTGCTTCGGCACAGTCGCATTTGAAGAAGGCGTGGGGGTGGGAGGACGATTCATGACAGATTATGTCTCTACGCTTGATTAGGTGCCAATTCGATGTAATTGCCCACTGCATCTTGCAGCAATCCCGCATTGGATTCTTTTGTGTCTCGAGTTACAGCATACCATCTGGAAAGATCGGAATTAGAATTCCGGTAATTGCCTTTGCGTGCGCCTACTATTGTAGACGGTCAAGACGCAACGACCACGGACAATTCTGCCGTGAGTATGGAAATCCCCAAGCCTGCAGGGAGAAACTAAACGATTCTATTTCCGGTCATCTGGTCTTCCCCATTACCCCGTACCCCAGAAAACCGGCACCAAGGGTAGGGGAAGGGGGGAGGGCTGGAGAGCTACGGGGAGCAATTCTGGTGATCCCGACAGAGCGGATCTGGGCAATGCGGAGGATCAGATAGACTCAATGAACACGGACATTACCCCGTATCCGTAATGCGGGCTACATTTTACCTATGAGATTGTGACACATGCAGGGCATGACCAGTTCTGGAACGCACACTTAGTGGCTACCGGTGCTACCCCGGTTCCTAAACATATTCAACAAGTTTTTTCTTAGTTTCTTCTTTGGCTTTGGGATATTGGGGTTTATCCGTAGTGTACCATACTTAGTCGCATGGTGGCGGGCTTATGCGCGGAGCTCGGTCTCGTTCACGTAATCTGCCCGTAAGACTTAGACATCGGACAAAGTTGCCTCAAAATCTAGATCGAGAGTCGGGGTAATTTCCCCCGACCTATTGAGTAACCAATGCGAAGCTCTTCTTTGTTCATTTCCAAGCCCCCACCTGCCTCATTGACAGACTAAGGAAAGTGGGCTGTCTTACACCGGTTGCAAAGCCAAGTCTCGAGATGCCTCAAAGCTTTCTTACAGCTCAGCAATGCTGCAAGTTCACGTGGGCTCCTCGACGCGTCTTGACTCCTGAGCGCGCTTAAGTGGGATTCTGACATGCGCTTCCACTTTCCACTGGTCAATTGGCATGACTTGGTATCCTCCTCAGCGTCAGAGCTGCCCCGCGATGGAGCTCTTTACTCTTGTCGGGAAATGGTTTCCGATAGAGCTCCGAGGACGGTGAGGTTCCGTACGGGAGAGCTATGGAATATAAGATACCAGAGGTCCCTGATTGTTTGTAGAGCTATGTTAAGCCGTCCTCGGTACCCTTCGACTTCTCCCAGATTGTACATTTGCGCGAAAAGGAGCATCCCACCCGTCCTCGTCACCGCCATTATTCGTACATTCTTCCATCTTTGATATCCTTACGACCGTCCAGCTACCGCTCGAATCGCATACCATAGAAGATAGACATAGACATAGACCCCACGCCACCCTCCTCACGATCACAAGTCAAACCACGAGCACCGGACCGAGCTCCGACAACACATCATCACACGAACCATCACTAGAACCGCAAAAGCAAAAATGTCAACCAAGAAGCTCCAAGTAGGCGTCGCAGGCCTCGGCCGCATGGGCAAGCGCCACGCCCTCAACTTCCACCAAAATGTGCCCCGCGCGACCCTCGTGGCCGTCAGCTCCCCCGACGCCGGCGAGCGCCAATGGGCCGCCGAGAACCTTGCCCCCCACGGCGTCACCGTTTACGAGTCCTACGACGACATGCTCGCCCACAAGGACTTGGAGGCAATCTGCGTGGCTTCCGCGACCTCTGTCCACGCCGAGCAGGCCAATAAGGCCATTGAGAAGGGCAAGCACGTCTTGTGTGAGAAGCCGTTGGGCACCACTGTTGAAGTTGTAAGTTCCTCACTCAGGATCATTTGACAATGACGATATGCGGTGTAACTAACAATATGGTCACAGTCACAAACTGTCGTCGACGCAGCCGCAAAACGTCCAGATCTCAAAGTGATGTGCGGCTTCTCCCGCCGCTTCGACGCCTCCTACCGCGACGCCCACGCAAAGATGCAACAAGGCCTCATCGGCCGCCCCGCCATCCTCCGCAGCCAGACGTGTGACGTCTTCGATCCCTCAGGCTTCTTCGTCGCCTACGCCCAGTTCTCGGGCGGCATCTTTGTCGACTGCAGCATCCACGACATTGACCTCGCGCTCTGGTTCTTTGACGAGGAGACCACCAAGGTCAAGTCCGTCCACGCCGTCGGTATCACGGCTGTCGAGCCGGACCTGCGGAAGCATAATGACCGCGACAACGCTGTTGGCACGGTCGAGTTTTACGACGGGCGGATCGCGTATCTGTATGCCTCGCGCATGATGGCCGCGGGCCAGGAGGACTCTACAGAAATTATTGGTACCAAGGGCAAGTTATCGGTTAACCTATTGCCGGCGGAGAACCATGTAAAGATTTACACGCCGGGAGGCATCCGGCAAGAGCTGCCGCAAACGTACTGGGATCGGTTTAGGGCTGCTTTCACAACCGAGGCGATCGAGTTTACCGAGAGTGTGTTAGAGGATAAGCCTGTGCCGATCAAGTTGACTTCAGCGGTGGCTGCTGTCAAGATTGGTGCGGCGTTGCAGGAGTCTATGATCAAGGGTACCAAGATCTGGTTTGATGAGCAGGGCAACCGGACGGAGAAGGCTCAATTGTAAGACAGTGAATTGCATTCGGTCTTCGTGGCCTTGATCTATCTGCGAGACTACCCCGACATTTGGTGGCCTGTATGCGGCTGCTACTACATTTCACCTGCTGTCTCCAATACCATGCCCTCTGAGACTTCAATACATGTAGACTCTCATGTCCGTCATGTCCAGAGGTACATGATCCACAAGGGTATGTTTCTTCGGTGGAAAACTTCAGTACTGAGGTGATGTCAGTCATACTCTGCGACGTTCTGTAGGGGGTCCATACCTTGTACCGATAAACAAGTGTTGGGTGCCTCTGTCCTCGAAAGCATTCTTTCCTAGCATTGCTCTAGCTCATCAAATACCCATACAGCATTTTGAGACACTGAGTCACAGCCGAGAAATCGCATGACGCTGCGTCACTGAGTTCCCTGAGATGCTTTGGGAGATCTGTCAACTTCAAGAAGGTTTGCAGCATTTCTCCAAATTGTCCCCTTCGAGACTGAAGTTTCTTCGTGAGCTGGAGGAGGTTTCTGTGGTGACGGTGAGAAGAAGGCCTTCGGATAACAGAGCAGCCAGTGGCAAGGCAGAACCACACACCACCAAAAATTGAACGGCTTTGGCGACTCACCAGGAGGCTCGACCATCAGCCGGCCTTTTCTTATCTGCTTCGCCGTTGCTTTGTCGGCTTTCCAAGGGCTCGGCTTCACTCTGGTGTGGGAAGACGAAGACGTATTCTGCTGAGCGCAGCTGGTAGAGGCTTTGGTGCCGGGTGCCCTACTGCTTGATGCCTTGACACTCGGCTCTTTGGATTGCTCTTCATGGGCATCCCCAGAGAATTGGAAGCCTCGTGGTAGGCTTTCGCTGTTGAAGGCGCATGAGCGACTTGATCGCTCGGGAACGGCGGGAGCAGTTGTCCCCTTGGTTTGTGAGACACCAGACCCGCTCAACACGTATTCTCTTTGCTCTCTCTCGACTACTCCCGTAACAACTGTCTTTCCTCCCCGAACGTGTCTAGGAGTAGCTTTACTGCTAGAGGCGTTGGATAGCTCTCGCTGCGGTCCACCAGAAAACTGGAAGCCTTGAGGAAGGCTGTCGCTGTTGAAGGCGTATGAGGGACTGGACCGCTCAAAGATGATGGGAACAGCAATCTGCTTGGTCTGACGGGCACTGGAGCCTTGGGATGTGGAAATTGGTAGGTCTCCCTCAATATTGCTGGAAGAATTCAAAGACGGGCTCCCCAATCTTATGCCTTTCTCCTTTCCGGAGGTCGGTTGTGTCTTCTCATCTTGGAAATGAGACTCCGGCGCTGCACCAATGTACGATAAAGGCTCGACAGAGGCAGACTTAGCGATTGATTCTTTCATCTCGGTGACTGGGACACCTCCTTCACCGCCCTCGCTGCAAGACTCCCAGTGAGTAGATGCATGTGATGATGATGATGATTGAGGGCGGACATTCGGAGCAGCCCCATTTGCAGTGACCACTCTCGGCATCTTCGCAAGACTGGGTACTTGGCTCTGGTTCATACTCGTCGACATACTCTTGGTCTCGGAGCTCTTCGCCTCAAAGTTGAACTCAAAGTCTTGCGGAATTTGGCTCACTATCGCGCAATCAGCTTGTGAAACGTATGAAAAATAACCCGAAGTGTTTCCAAAATGGAACCAGAACTCGCCGAATGGCAGGAAAAGTACTTACCTCTGGCATCTTTGGAGGTGAAATTGGGATTCTCTGCCGCTCCAGACTTGTTCGCCAATCCAGGGATGGACTGCGAAGAGATTTTGGCTTCATCCAGTCGACTGATGAAATCCGTGCCCAATTTCACCATGGATTCGAGCTCTCTGGGCCGAGGAGTCGTCTCATCGACAGAGCATGGGAGCTGATCATCATTGCCTGTGGTCGGATGGATGGATTTCTTCGGAGTGTGCGGCAGCGGAATGTCTGATTGTGTTTCTGCTTCGACTTCTTTGTGTCAGTGAAGGCAGAGCTGGTGCCCCACGGCCAAGTACCTACCATAACGTCTCGAAATGTCACTACCATGTTCGATCACAGCGTGGGTGCCCGCGTCACTCACACCCTTCACACTCGTTGCCTCCTTTGCAGCGTCTTCGAGTATCTCGATGCGATCAATAGCGGTGAAAAGAACCTGCAAACAGAATGCTGGATTCTGTTTGATGAGGTCCACGAAGGTGTCTTGTTGCAGAAGCTTGAGGAAATAGGGGCTGAGTGCTCGTTGCATCTCCTCGTGCATAAACACCCACGAGCTGTCCTGCTCGGCAATGATGACCTCGACGACAATGTAGAAATCTCCCATTCTGTCAGTGCCACTGGACAGGATCTCGCCAAGCAAGTTGCCTGTCTGGAAAGCAATCCTCTCTTGCAACGGGAGAATGTCGAGTGTCGCGGACACCTCGTACAAGGAGAGGAGGTCTATCACTTCAGACTTTTCTGTGATCAGGCTTTCTGCTAATGGTCAGCACACTCCACCTTCCCACAGCCGAAGGCATCGCTCACCTCCAAAGTAGAAGTACTTCAAGACTGTGTTCAGAGCTGAGTACGGGAACATGCGCTCCTTCAGTGGAATCTTTCTCAATCCTTCTTTCTGAAGACGTCCGTTAGCAGTCAATGCAACTTCAGATGTCGTGCTTGACCTCGCGAGATGATATGCTACATGAGGAGCTTACCATCTGAACCATCCCAAGGATGTGGTCGATCAGGCCGCTTCTACCGCGTACCACCTTGTCGTGAAGCTCCCATTTGCTGTCACCCATGATGAGAAGAATATCGGCGCCCTTCTTCGTCTCCCAAAGGCTATAAAATGTCAGCAAGGTAGACAGAAATGGAGATTCAGGGTGGACTCACGATGGGAGGTTGGACCCCTCCATGGCCTCTTCGGCACCTTCGCAAGGCAGAATGATCATAGCGCGCAAAAGGCCGCCGGTGTGCGGTACGATGCACAAGACAGTTGAGGTCAGAGATGATGAATGAATGGAATATGTAAAGGCAAGTCCACAATGCAGAGTGTGAATTCGAGTGATGGAAGAAGAACGCTGTACCAGAACAGACGCGGCGAGGCGGGTGGATTGGGGATTAAAGGTACCGTGGAGGTTGCAGCGAGGGAAAGATGCAAGGCTAGAGGGTGGTTTATGCCTTCCGTTTGTGTGGTAAACCCCCTAACCCCCGGATGGAAGGAGCGGCGATTGCTTCCTGCCTAATTCAAGCCAGACTCAACCCGTAGAAAATTGAGAATGGCCTCAATCCAAGAGCACTGGAATAACGTAACTTGCCCCTTCTATGCATAAGAAGCTCCGAATATCCATCTGAAGAGCAATGGGAGGCGGTTTGTCCTCATGGCTCTGCGTACGCAGCCTTGGGCAGAGTATGGCAAAAGCTCAAGCTTCCATGAGGCACTGGGATTTATCACTGAGCAAAGCAGTCCTCTTACTTTATCTTGTGCGTTCCTGTTAAGAGAAGTGAACTACGGTATATGTCTATCTCATTAACAACAGCCAGGTAGGTGGCCAAGTCCATACCTAAAACACAACCTAGCAATGGAGGCACCACATTGCTCCAAAAAGTCATCTTCAGATCACCTTCCCACAATTATTCCACTCAGCTGCTCCAAAGTGACTCGGCATCAACAGCGCCAATGACGTCTTCGTCATCGAACTCCCCATACTCCCCGTCTTCCTCGTCTCCTAAAGCCTCACTAGCGGTGCTGCTGCTTTGATTGCCACCATTCTCGATGGCATCCATTCGCAAGACGAATTCTTTTCGAAGACGTATTAAGTAGCTTCTCATCGACGAATCATCCATCTCCGAGTTCCTCACCTGTTTGAGCTGTTCGTGAAGATTGAGTATTAGCTTGCGTCGGTTGAGCATCTTTCTCGCTTGAGAAGATTGCTTATTCTGTTCCCTTCGTTGATGTAGCGACATGGCGACTTCCTCGGCAACTTCTAGAAACCGTTTGGGAAATGCCATTGCCTTTGCAAGTGTGATGCCGTATCGCAACTCCTCCGTCTTTCCCGACTCAACTTTGTACATCATGGTCAATTTGGGTACGTTATTGTCCATTGTCGAAACTTGCGTGACAAGACGAAGGTTCAGTACTCCGGGGCGATCGGCTAGGATGTCGGCTAAGGCATTTTGAGTCAACCCCCGATCACGTCCACCTAGGGCTAAGTTAGGGAACTATGTTAGGGGACCTACCAAGCTCTGTGAAGTGAGTTGCAAACCATACAATGGCACGGCTCTGTATAAGGGCTTCAGCTATGGCGATCGCGATAGCAAGTCCATCTCGGGTGCTTGTGGCTCGACCTAGCTCATCAATGATGACGATGCTTTTGTGGGTGACATTGCTTGAAGTAGGCATGTCAGCACACTAAACTCTTCTGCTTAAGTAGCACTTACCTAAGGATAAAAGCCATTTCTCTCATCTCAAGCGAGAAACTTGACATGTTGGACTCAATGTTGTCGTCGGTAGTCACCCGAGCGAAGATGTTGTGGACAATGGGAAAACTGGCGTATTCAACAGGCACGAAGCAGCCTATTTGTGCCATGATCTGGAGCAGAGAGACACTCTTGATGTAAGTGCTTTTCCCACTCATGTTGCAGCCGGTCACAATCTGGAAACGGTGCTCCTCGGCAGCGTAATAATCATTCGGTACAAAGCCACCCTTCAGAGTCTGTTTTTCATCAGCATGAAATAAGGGAAGCAGTGCTTGGGCCGAACCTTGTCCATGATGGGGTGTCTAGCAGCTTTCAGCGCCAGAGTATCTGATATTTCCGGTCTCCTCCAATCGTACGTCGAACTTGCCTGTGCAAATGACGCAATCATGTCGAGTAGTGCGATTGAATCGCAGACGCGGTAGAGGGGCTGTAATTGGGTTCGGATGCTGTCGATGAGGTCCTGTATAACCTTGTCACTCAGCATGACTACTTCGGCGACGGAGTCGGTGATTCTCTGGTTCAGTTTCTTGAGATGCATTGTGAGACACTCGATGTACCGACCCTTCATCGTCTGGTTGACAAGCACCGCAGGTACAGCCCGGTCCTCGAAATCCACTGCTCGCATTCGAAGGCTGTACTTGCGCCCGTTGTCGAACCGTAGGATAGCTTCGATTCTATGCTCGCCTACAATCTTCGTTAGGAGGGAGGAGTGGATGGTGGTGGAGACTCAGCTCAATTACGATTTAGCTCTTCGACATGTTTATGGACGTCATCGGTGTTTTCCTTGTAGGCTTGTCTGGCAACATCGAGAAGCCCGTTGATTCCAGGCTGCTGCATTGTTAGCCAATCTTCAGCAACATTGGCCAGAAGTCACTTGCTTTGACCGCAAACGTCCTTTGATTTCGTAGATCCAGAGCGCCTTTGACGTAGTGGACATCCTCATGGATGTTCTGGTACACAAGCTCTCTGACAGCTGCAGTCAACTCTGGCCGGCAGAGATCCCTGATCTTGGCGAGAAGGGGGCACGTGGCAGGGCCTAGCGCCTGGAACACTGGTGGAACGGCATCTATAAAGGTCTTTACCACAAGAATATGATTGATTGCTCTTTCTGACGCTTCGACGGACGGTTTATTAGGGATGATGACAAGCTATCCCAGTCAGCAAGGTCCGGGAGAGGCCAGGCGTCATTATAGTTCGGTACCTTGGTCAGCATGCTCTCGACATCAGGAAAAGCCTTCAAAGCTGCACAATATCAGCAAGTCGCCGATTACGAGCAGATGATATAATCAAACCTGTTCGAACCTCTGCAAACATGTCTTGATTTGCAAGAAGTTCCTCCAAGGCATCATATCTTGGCTCAAGGTATGACTCTTTGAGGGTAGACGGCTGCAGTAAATTACTTCGAAGTACCCGACCGCCCATGGGTGTCAGTGTATGCTTGAGAACACCGTAAAGGCTGTCGTTAGACGTCGCGTGGCGTCGATTTTGAAGGATCTCGAGAGACATGATGGCAGATACGTCAATCATCATGGTATCCTCCGAGGGCTGGTAGCGAATGCGAAGAGAGTGTGAGACAACTCGCACGGAGAACTCGGTCTCCAAGAAACTCATAGCCTTTAGGGAAAGTCAGTGATCATGCTGGCGTAGATTCCTGAGAATGTTCCTACCGCGGCAAATGAGCAAGTCGCATAGAAGCTGCCTTCGATAGCAACTTTCACGGCTTCTGCGTCTTCTCGGAACGCAAAGGTTTGAATACGATTGAGCCCATCCATCTCTGACCAGTACTTTCTATCAAGAGACGTGATCTTTGCATCTGGCATATGTTCCTCGATATGGCTGTAAAGCCTCGACTTGGGATTCGGGGGGCAGCACGAGCTGACAATTAGGAGATGAGTTGGCTCCATGATCTGAAGTTTGTGGAGAGTGCGAACGAAGAACCTGTTGTCGGAGATCTGACTAAGAATGGCCTCTCCGGTATCAACATTGAAGAATACAATTCCAACAGCAGGGGTTATCCCGCGAGCCTCGCTCAGGGCGCACACTATGGTGTGTTTAGCGCTGTTGGGCAGAAAAGGGGTTCGCGACATGCGACTAGTATGGGAAGTGCTCGGCCGGGTCGTACGTGATCTTGATAGAGTATCACTAGGACCGTTACCGTAGTCGTAGCTTGAGGTGTAGTAAGAACTAGAGACAGGGTCTTCCGCTGAAGAGGGTGTCGGCGTTGCCGTGGAGGAGCCTCCTATTCTCGGATCTGCTGAGCTTGTGCCCGTTCTTGAAGTTGTCTGGGAGAAGTAAGGAGACGCCCTCCCGTATGGTGCTGGTGTCTGAGAAGGAGTGGTCATGTAACCGGTCGAAGGCCTCGAGGGCCGCAAGTATCGAGGATTCATCTTGTGGCTATATGGACAACACCAGCCGCGATGCTGGCGATCTCGCAGTTCAGGAATCAGAATATGTCTGGTTGACTACAGTCTTGGGAGGTGAGGCTCAAATTTAGGCAGAACAGATTGGAGCTTTATCTGACCGAAAGAAATAGACGGCAAGTCGTTGAGAAGAATCGAAGGACCTCATACCAAGATCGCAGCAACAATCGACAGCTCCTGCCTGACTTACACGGACGAGCCGGGGTTGTCCCGGCCGAGCCAAGAGTGGGGCCACAAGCACCAGCCACACCATCATCGGATGCACAGCCACTAAAGTAATGCGATGTCGACCGGTGGAGTCAAGTCGTCATCCCCACGGCCCCGACACGTCAGGAAGAGTTTGCGACAGGCTTGGAAAACCAATCCGCACAGGAAGCCGAACCGCGTCGCGCCGCGACACCACGACTCGAACTGCCCATCTCGACCGACACGGATCCGGGACCAGGCTTTTGAAGCCATCGCGACATTGGTGTTTAGTCGCCCCGCCCCGCCGTCAACATGTTTGGCATCCTGGGCGCCCGCGACCGTAGCGACGGCACCGAGGAGTATGCCTCATTCGACGAGCTCTTCGCGGCGCTGAAGACGCGCATGCAAAAAGATGGGTACAAGGTCGTCAAGTCACGTACCCATCGAAACAAGGTCGGCGGGACCTACGAGAAAGGGAGCGAGGTCGTCAGATGTGATCTCGTCTGCGATCGTGGTGGCCAGCCTTACAAATGCACAGCGACGCAGCTGAAGACATCCACCAAGAAGACCAATTGCCCTTGGAAGGCCAAAGCCGTCAACCGTAAGACGCTGGGGAAATGGATCTTGACCATCATATGCAGCGAACATAACCATGAGGCGCGCACGCCTGACCCGCCGACCGATGAGGAGGATGCTGATGCGGAAGGAGATGCCGACGTTGTTCAGGACGTATCAATTGGTTTGTCTCCCTTGCCGTTGCCGTCCGTGGTTCAATGCTGACCCTCATAGCCCCAGAAGTGCAGAGCTCTGGTCCGACGCCAGATCCTACGACAGCCGCCCTCCTTCTCATGGTGGGAGCTGCTCCCAACACGATGCGACTTACCGGCGAGACCTTTCACAACTTCAAGTCCGAATATCGTAAGATGTCGAAACCTGAACGACTGGGTATACTAGCCCAGATGCAACTGCGCATCGCAGCTATTTACGCCGTCGAGAACGAGGATATGCAGAGACAAGAAAGGCAGGCTAGGCAGGAGAAGAAGCATCAAGAGATTGAAGAAAGTCGACGCAAATCGCAAAGTACACAACAGCCGCAGCAGCAGCAGCAGGCACCACAGCAACAACAACAACAACAACAACAACTATCGCAACCACCCCCGCAGCAACAGCAACAACACCAACAGCACCAACAACAGCAACCCCCTCAACCGCAGCAACAGCAGCAGCAGCAGCAGCATCAGCAAGTGCAGCATCAACAATATCAACAACATCCCCCACAGCACCAGCAGCAACAAGTACAGAATCATAGTCTTGGCCACAATCACGGCCATAACCATAATCGGGTTCAGCAGCAGATGAATCAGATGTCCCGGGATGGCATGGCTGGTATGCCCAAGCACCCGTTTGAGCAGACAACCCACGATGAGCACGCGCAGTATAGAGACCGGCAAGCTGAAATTGAGGAGCGCAACCAGAGGGCGATGCAGATGCGCGGGCAGCACCTTAATAACACCTTCCAACAGCAGAACGCTGTCCAACAGACGCCCATTCCTGTGCCCCAATTCGGCTTGCAGTCGGCTCAAGGTCAGCCGCAAGTGTTCCATCAGTACACTGCGACTCCTACGAATAATGCAATGTCAAAGGGAGCGGCAGGTGCCTCGCCGGCCACGGGCCCAAAGAGACGTGGCCGGCCGAAGAAGACAGCCATGGACCAGACCCTCGACCCCAGCCTTCACATGGGAAGATAGTCGCCGTTCCTACCGTTGGTCGTTGGGAGAAGATGAGGAGGGAGTGTGTATGATGAGTTTGAGAAGGGCTCAGTGTGTGTAATGTGTAAGAGGGTTACGACATACCCTACCGGACGGAGGAACTGGGGCATGGCGTTTATAAGGATACCAGCGCAGCAAGCTGGCCCGGACATACTTAGTTTTCTTCTCGCTGAAATAGCACAGTTCCGGGAGAGAGCTGCTAGGATGGCTCTTGGAGTTTGTTCATCGTCTGAACTGGGGGTCATTTTTATCTTATCAATGCCCGCACTAACAGACAACACTTTGTTTCTCCACTTGCAAATGCTAGCGATGACATTTTTTTAGGCCGTTGTTAGTGGGGGCGTCGCAACCACGGACAATTTTTGACCGATGGTCTCTGGTCCACCGTCCCGTCTGCACATCAAAATTTCTGCCCCACCATCCCGCATCGCCGTAGTCGAAATATTTCTGACAATTTCAAAGACCAAAAAAAGGCCAATTTTTCGAGCAGGCGGTCAACCGACGCAACAACCATGGCGACGGTCCTCCCCCCGCCCTCGAAGCGTCAAAAGCGCGAGACGCTCGAGAAGACCCAGACCCAGCAAGATGTCACAGCAATGGCCCCGGGCCTTGAGGGCTCCTTCAAGGCCCGCTTCGTTGACGGCGACGGACAGCAGCTGGCCGAGGTGATCGAAGTGCCCCTCGCCGACGCTTCTGAGAAGAACTTGACTCTCCTTCTCAACACCTTGCAAGGAAAGGTCAGCCATGTCCTTCCCATTGACAATACCATATACAGGCATTATCTAACCCCCAAGACAGGATAGAGAAGACTTCCTCCCGTACAAGTTCCGAATCCACATCCCTGACACAGACATCATCGTCGACCAATACCCCACCAACCTCCTCGAGCTCCTCCGCAGCCATGGCGTCGCAAATCCCTTCGAGACAACAGTCACTCTTAGTGCCGAGCCCCAGGCTGTATTCAAGGTGCAAGCCGTCACTCGTATGGCCCACCGCATCCCAGGTCACGGCGAAGCCATCCTCTCAGCCCAGTTCTCCCCCGAGACTAGCAAGAGGTTAGCAACGGGCGGTGGCGACAAGACAGCGCGCATATGGGATACCGAGACAGGCACCCCGAAGTTCACACTCTCGGGCCACTCCGGCTGGGTGCTCTGCGTGGCGTGGTCCGCCGACGGCCGCCGCCTCGCAACGGGCAGCATGGACAAGACGGTCCGCCTCTGGGATCCGGATAAAGGCGTCGCTGTCGGCCAGCCCCTGACTGGCCACGCAAAATGGGTCACTGGAATCGCCTGGGAACCCTACCACCTCTGGCGCGACGGCACTCCCCGCCTGGCATCCGCCAGCAAGGACGCGACGGTGCGCATCTGGGTCGTCAACACGGGGCGGACAGAGCACGTTCTGTCGGGCCACAAGAGCAGCGTCAGCTGTGTGAAATGGGGTGGTACTGGGCTCGTGTACACGGGCAGCCACGACAAGACGGTCAAGGTCTGGGACTCGGTCAAGGGCACTCTCGTGCACACGCTGTCCTCTCACGCCCATTGGGTGAACCACCTCGCTCTATCCTCCGACTTTGCCCTGAGAACGGGCTTCTTCGACCACACTCCCACACCAGAGACGGAGGAGGCTCGCCGCGCCAAGGCTAAGGAACGCTTCGAGAAGGCCGCCAAGATCCAGGGCAAGGTAGCTGAGCGCATCGTCTCGGCCAGCGACGACTTCACAATGTACCTTTGGGACCCGTCACAAGGCACCAAGCCCGTGGCGCGCATGCTGGGTCACCAGAAGCAGGTCAACCACGTCACCTTCTCCCCGGACGGCACCCTCATCGCCAGCGCGGGTTGGGACAACCATACCAAGCTCTGGAGCGCGAGAGACGGCAAGTTCATCAACACGTTGCGCGGACACGTCGCACCCGTGTATCAGTGCGCCTTCTCTGCCGACTCCCGACTGCTTGTGACGGCGTCCAAGGATACCACGCTCAAGGTTTGGTCTATGGCGACGCACAAGCTGGCCGTAGACCTTCCGGGGCATCAGGATGAGGTGTATGCTGTCGACTGGAGTCCTAGGGACGGCCAGCGCGTGGGCAGTGGCGGCAAGGATAAGGCTGTGAGGTTGTGGTGTCACTGAGGGAGCAAGTTTTTGCGCGTCTTCGTTGCGCAAAGTTAGGCAATTATTGCAATGCGTGGTCTTGCGCATATGATGGATGGGTTTTTGGCAACTAGAATACGGATACACAAAAGAGAATATACCCCATTTGTTCCCAAGCTGTCTATGAATTTTCTGACGTGCTCCGCCTCGGCTTAAATTGCTGGACGTATTGAACCATGCAGCACGAAACAGGCGGCGTGTGCCGTTTAGGATTGCATTTTCGCCTCAATCTGACATAAACTCTGCGAGATAAACTTTACTCCTAGACCAGTTGTTCGTTCCGTAAGCGTTTGTCAAAAGCCAAACTACTTTCCCAGAATAGTGGCACAGCTCTGCTCTTTGCTTTGCACAGAGCACGGGTCATTGCATCCAGCATCACCCCGGATGGCCAAGACTCAATGGAAGAACCCCCCTCCGCAGACTTGTTTGATCTGCACAGCGTTAAAACGAGTGACCGCCGGCCACCGGCTGCCTTGAAATAGGCCCTTGCAATACCAGAAGCCTCAGCCAGGAGAAAGTAGTTGCTTGTGATTGAAATATTAACCAATGACCCCAAGAGGTAGACCACCTTGGCCAAATAAGTAAAGACTCTAACTACGCGATGAACAGCAAAGATGAGAAAGAAGGGGCATCGGAGGATGGGAGTAGGACGAAGCTCACGGCAGCCTCGTTTCTAGGACGCATCCAAGACGTAACATCATCCTCTTTCGGAAGCGAAGATGAACGCATGCAAGTACTCCTCGGAACATACGCTCTAATGACGCGCTTGGAGTCTCCATGGGAGACGTTAGTGAGAATCTGCATGACACAGGTAAGAGAAAGACTTCATCGTCAACCAACGTTTTCATGAGCTCGCTGCAATAATTCTTACACAAACGTAGCCGGCCCTTGGCGCAACTCTGAAGATCCTGAAGGACTTGCAACTCTTTGAGAAATGGCAAGCTAGGAACGGCGAGCAGATGACGAGTTGCCAGCTCGCTGAGCTTCTTGGAGGCACTTGTGATCCTGCGCTACTCTGTAAGTCTTTCTTTCATCTCGTAAGGTTGCCTATGTCTTACGATGTAGATCGGTTCCTCCGTCTAATGGCATCTAATCATCTGCTGGAGGAAACCTCGGTAGGGGTCTTCAGGCCAACATCATTTGGGGTCGCCATCACAGCACCGATATTCGACAGTCTAATCCACAGCTTGTAGGAACCATCCTCCATCGTCTTCTAGAAGAACATCCCTGGGCTAACACTTTCAAGCAACGACACAATCCTCCCAATGTACGCCAAGATGCCAGAATACTTTTCAAAAACGAACTACATCAACCCGCAAGACTCCTCCAACACCGTCTTCCAATACGCGCAGAGGTGGGACGGCAATCTGTGGTCCTACTACCAAGCCCATCCCAAACAGCAAGAGCAGTTCAACGTCATTCAGCAGACCATTTCCGGACTCCATCCTCCGTGGACAGAATTATTCCCTGCTGAAACACTGACAGAAGGAGATGATCCTCAGGTGCCGTTGCTTGTGGATATTGGCGGGAGTACCGGACACGATGTTCTCAAGCTCCACTCCATCTACCCAGAGACAGCCTCTCGGTTGTATCTCGAGGATCTAGAATCTGTGGTAGAGCAAGCTGTCTTGCCGGAGGGAGTCAACAAGGTTCCATATGACTTCTTTACAGCACAGCCGATAAAAGGTGAGTTGAATTACCTCGGTCTGTAATCCAGAACTCGCCATTCACAGACGCAACAGGAGCAAAAGCATACCTAATGCACTCCATCCTCCACGACTGGTCTGACGCCCCAGCCCGCAAGATCCTAGAAATGCAAAAGGAAGCAATGACGCCCGGCTTCAGCAGGTTACTCATTCACGACAACATCTTCGAAACGGCTCTAGCACACCCGCAGACAACCGCCTTCGACATCCAGATGATGGCTATGGTTGCCGGTCAAGAGCGGACGGAGGACCAGTGGAGGGAGCTGATTAACTCGGCTGGGTTGCATGTTGTCAGGATTTGGAGGTTGAAGTCTGCTGTGCATAGCGTCATTGAAGTCTTGAGATAGATGTAGGATGAGGGGTATTCCGAATCTGAACATGAGTATTCCGTTGCTGCCTGGTGTGTTCCTGTTCTAAGATATATACCCCCCCTCAATTCCATCCCCGTCACCAGCCAGCAGGCGCCCGTCTAGGTCGACGGGTCAGGTCAAACTGGCTGGGTGGTGGAGTGGTTCATGGTCAACAATCAAAATCGCCTACCAGCCTACTCGACGACAGGCTTAACGCATACGAGTCCCCGAGTTCGAATCCCAGCATGAGCACCAAGAGATGTAGCCACACCGGTGGTGAACTCTTTTTTTGCTCTTTCCTTTTTGGTCAATTGTTAGATGCTGAATGATTTTCCATCGTGTGACTCTTTGATGGACAGGCAGGGCGTAGGTGGTGTTTTTGAGCGACTGCCAGCTATTGCTAAGCACATGAGGGCACTGCATCTGATTTACCATCGTACTTATACAGAACTTTTACTAGCATCAAAGTTGTTGCATTCTGATCTTGAGTATGATGGATAGCCTCCGTCTTCTTCTCTTCAACTTGAACTAAGGCACGTACCTGAGGATAGAGTAAAGCATCTCCATCTTGGCATCAGAATCTCGTGCTGTAAACCATTAGGCTGGGGAGCGTCTCGTTAGAGGGAGGCTATGACATACATAGTTACGACCACTGATGAAGTGGCGTTTAATGAATTTAGACTTATTGAAAAGTCTCAGCTAGTCTCCAAATCTACTCTCTCTCCCGAATAGCTTCGCCCTCGATTGAACTGGGTCTCACTTCGTCTACTCGGACATAATGTCATCGGCCCCACTCGCGGACTAACGGGAGCCTGGAATCGGAGCACTATCGCGGGATCAAATCGGGAATCGGGACAAAGGAAGCGGGGAGAAACAAGACGCGGCCATGGTAGACAGCCGAACAAGCCGGGATATCAGATCAGGTGTTCCTCCTTAGCCGAGGTCTTACCACGGATACATGTCAAGTCTACAGTAAGGTGACTTCACAGGATTGAGGGACACAGCAAAGCCAGTTCTTGCTATGCGTGATCTTTAGACGTATTGTGTAACTGGTGTGTCATTGTCGTCCAATGTTGAGCAACACGAGATTGGCATTTGCATGCAGCACAGGCATTACCAATGATCACACACTGATCTACATGTAGGTAGTGCGTTGCCGGGAATTAAACCACCGTAACTCAACCGCAAGGATAGCAATCACTTGATGTTCCATCCCGATTTCCTTTCAGAAGCTGTCAATTCCGAAGTAAGGAATAGGGACAGAGGTGCTATTCGCCATGCGTTACCGCGGTTGAACGAGCCATGGCATTGGATGCCCTGCATACGGTAGTCTCCATGAATCGTATCCCATGGCACCAATCAGCAAGCACGTAAATACCTGTGTAGACAGAAGGAGGCTGAACGAGAACTACAGCGAAAGCAGGCGAGCCGAAGATCCCTCCTAGAGCAAGAATGCTCTGCTGGATGTCGTCGCGGCCTGCATGCGTTTGCATCTCTGCAATGGATCCTTAGCATTAGTCCGTCAAACCAGATCGTTCCATCTTTGGCCCGCCCCTCTTCCCCAACAACAGCTTATCATGTACTAATTTTATAGTAAGAACATGTGCTGCCTTACGCCCTTCTCCGCATCATGGGCAAAGGCGACCATCTGAAATCCAGATTGGGCTAGAAATCCCGTGCCGCTGGTGTGCTGATGGGATGTGCATCGGCGTTGTCCCATCGGTTCGTTCTGGCATGAGCATGATGGCATCCCGTCGGCGGTGCATGGAAGTGCACACTATTTCGTGACTACCTTACCCAGTACTATGGCGGAACTACAGGGCCGGGCCGCCCCTAGTAAAAGTATCGAGTAAGGCCGGGCAGCGCCGTCGTCGAGTCGAGCCGGGGCGTCTGATGCTTTGCCTGACCGGCCGAGCGCTAAGCGGTGCATCGCTAGTGTTTGGACCTCGAAGAACTCTCATCTTGCCCTCTGAACGATTTCAGTATCCAGGCAGAGTGCCAGACGGGCGATCCTAGGACATGGAGGAGGGATTCAAATGTTCCTTGTTGGGCCAGCTCGACACGGAGTGACCAAGATCTTGCTGAGGTGTACTTCGTGCCCAGGCCCTGGGATGGTGGCTTCGAACAAGATGGGCGGGGAAATTCTATCATATATGATGTTTCTTTTTCCGTGTCTAGACAAGGGGGCATATGCCAAGCGACTGCTTTGCGATTGGCGCCTGGAGAGGAGAGGCATAATGCGGCGGACCGTCGGGCAATGGACTAGCTATTGTCAGTCACCTCAGCGGCGCCTTGTTCGATCAAGTTGACTCTGACGCGCGCTGGGCGCCGATGGATGATTCTCTGCAGTCTTACATTCAGCCTATAGAACAATCAAGGACTGAGTGTTCACTGCACCATCGGGATATACCGGCACGTGCTATCGAAGTGGTCGGCGATATGATGTTCATGAGGGTGTCGAGGAAGATTTGAGAAGTTTAGATCGAATGAACAGAACAGAAATGGGGTGCAGCGCGGCTGCGGTTGATGTGAGGGGAACATGTCGTTTGGACTGGGGTCTGATTGTGTGGGGAAGGATGGGACATCGATATGGAGTTGAAGTGAATCAAGCTGTGGATTTCCCCTGTGGATTGTGTTGTGGGATGCCACGAGGTTGACATGAAAGGTTTGACTGGAGGGAAGGCTTCTTGTTCGAAACCGTTTCCTTTGCCCTGAGGTTGATTGGGCCGCTACAACTATCAGAGTCACAGCCGCTTCGGCTGGGCGGCCGCTGTTGAGGCATTTCTTACTTGGTGATATCTGGTTCTGGTGCCCAACCCAAACATTGACAAGCAAAACGGTTAGCGATAGGAGAGACTCGCAGCCGAGCTTATATTGCCGTACTAGTTGCCGATCGGCGTTGCATGTAACAGGCCGGCGAGTGCGTCGACCCTTGGCAATGGCATATTGCCCAACACGGATGGCACTGTTGTGAATGTGTGGATTAATAACTCCATGGACCAAGGCTCAGCAATATCGCGCTCCGTTCGTGGCTGCATCGTGAAGAATGGTAAGCAGGAAACAGGGGGCCAATGTCGCTCCTCAACCATTTCCCGAGGCCCTCAAAGAATTCGTGGAGGTAATGATGAGTCGATACACCAGTACAGGCCCCCAGGTGCGCTGCATAATAACCCAGACTTGTAGCAATACGCGTCCTGGTTCTGATTCGGACCTCTCGGTGCTCTAGGCTGTCCAGCCCTCGCCGTCTCCGCCTTGTTGGGGTAGACGAGGATACGGCTTGCCTGAACATCTTCTGGCGAGTCGCTCTTTTGGGACTGCTGCAGGAAGCACATGCTTCTAAAGATGACCGTGAGAGTGGGCGATAGTCGGAATGATGATAGGGCTTATAGATGGTAGACATGGGTTCTTGTAGAATTTCTTCATAAGACGCATCCTCGCGGAACCCGAAAACCCAGAGCGAAGTTTCCCCGCGCCGTGGTCTCTCCGAACCTCAAGATTGAAGTGGGCACCGTTGAGCCACACCCGCTTCGGTGGAGGAAGGTGGATAGGAAGCTGGGCTGAACTGGCCGGGTGATTGACTAGAACTTTGCAGATGGAGACAAAGTTGTGGCTCTCCCCGATTCCCCATTTAGTTTCAAGAGGGGCCTCCTGTCACATGGACAAGTTGCTCCATCTCAGAATGGTCCATTAAAGGTCTTGAGCGTTGAAGAAACAGAGGGGGAGAAGAGCAGAAGGAAAAAAAAAAAAAAGCGTGGAACGCGAGCCCGAGTCCGCAGGGACCAGGGACCCGGCCAGAGCCAGCGATTCCACCCAGGGTGTAGAAGCATGACATGGGAGCAAAAGAGATGTTTGGAAGGTTGCTTTGGCCGCTCGGTCAAACTGCGCAAGCTTCAATCAAGACCCTGCTGGTCCCAAGCTGTCTTTTGTTCAGCATGGTGTAGAGCCCTCCCAACACTGGGCGACACCAACCAGGCATTGCCTGTGAGCCTGAAATGGTGGAATCGAGAGCTTGCATGATGGATTGAGTTTGAGGTTCCGCATTGCACCAGGTCCAACGTGGGCAGCGGAGGCCAGGGGACAAGCTCTCGGGTTACCATTGCCGGAGGGTATACGATGTTAGTTCGTGGCCCTATAGTCGTGTTTGTCGAAGCGTTCTGGCGGTGCTACGAAGAAGTCTTCCTTGACGGCAGATGGAGAAATAACGTAATGCTCCATGACGATGACAGAATCTCAAAGTTGTCTATCGGAGGCGCTGTGGGCGGCAAACAACCGCCCAGGAAACCATCCATCTCAGTTTTGAGAATTTCGTCAACGAGGCGTGCTTAGATGTGTGGTCAAAGAGTAGCCACGCGATGGATGGCGAGTGGAAAGGTTACCCAAGGTGGTGTATCGCCAATCCAAAGGGGATTGTTCGTCGTAAGGCGAAGCGCCAGGTTATCTCTCAAGGTCGGGCTGTGCTGGGGTCGCACGAGGTGCATATGCAGCGTTGATGTTGATGTGCAGGCGTGATGTACCGTAGAACGACAGTTGTCTGCGCGCCAGGGTGGTGGGCGGCAACGCTCACAGGGAAAGGGAATGTCCTGGCTCGGTGGTATCGCCGAGCTATTGGAGGACCTGGTGATGGTCAAGGTGGTGGTGATCGATGCTCGTGCCGAATCTCGTCGGGCAAATCTAGGCGACGGTGTGGTGGCTGGCTGGCGGTGATGATTTGTTGGAGCTGCTGATGAAGAATGATGGTTATGGTGGTGGTGGTGTTTAGTGTTAGTGTTTGTCTTTTGTTTCCCCCTCATTTGAACCAAAAGGAGAAAAGAGGAGTCAAGGCGAAGGTCAAGAAGAAGAGAAGGCGGCGATGACAGACACTGGACGAAGATGTGAGGAAGACGTCAGAAGCGAAAGACTACGTGATGTTGCTAGACGCGATGCTTTCCAGATGTTTCCTGTAGCAGCCACGCCCAACCCATGGTCGCATTTTCAGCTCTCTTTCCCACAAGGGAGAGACTTTCCGCTCCTCGTTTGTGCCGATCTGGCAGGTGTACCTCACCAAATAGCAGTGGCTTGTTGGCGCGTTGCACTTACTTGATTGACGTGACATGAGGCATAGGAGAGAGAGAGGCAGGGAACACTGGTGAAAAGAGCGTCCAAAACATGAGTCTCAGTTCATGTCCCTTTAGCTTGGATGAGGCGGAGTGAACGAGGTAGCAAGGGGGCAAGCGGGCTTGTCTCGACAATCTTGAGGGCAACATGAAATCAGCAGATCCTAACCAGGGCCACGAAGCGCAACATCTACCTACTGGCTCGTGCTGTTCATGATGGGAGCGAGTGTTTGAGTGAGCACAAGTGGCACGGTCTAGGCCGGCCAGTCCTAGTCTGACATATTGGACTTTCAGACTGAAAGCTTGACCAAAGAGAGTTCTTTTAGTCACAAATGAGAGAATCCCACCATTCGCAGTGCGATGCTGAGAGTCCCGGCTGATGATGGACGATCAAAGTGACACTCACGGCTCCTGTCGGCCTTGAGGGAACGACACATCATTAGTCCATCATCAATCATATTTGCCTTTTTGTCTTTTGCGCTTCCCAGCTTTGGCTTTCTTCAATCATTGGCACGCCACCGTGTCTCAATGTCTTGAACCCTGGGGTAATAAGAAAACATTTCGGTCGTCCGGTCAGCTACGGAGCAGCCTTTGGTGGTTCGCTAGGTGCCTATAATTGAGGAACATGGCTGTCGAGACTGGCCAGTCTTTTTGCGGCGCTGTGGCTTCCGTCCAGTCATTCCCGAAGGATCCCTGACGTTGCCTTGGAACCACTGACCAGGGAAGATGGGCAGCATCACCATCCCTGTCAGCCCCAAGATTCAGAGAGTCACAGCGGCACGGAAACCGAGGTGTCCCAACGGATACGTACTGGACGGAGCAGGCAAGGCAAAGTCTAGGATGGTGATGTTCGTACCGCGAATCCGTTCCGGTAACAGCCATCGCGGCACCTGGCTTCTTCCAATTCTTCCCGCATGAGGTAGGATTCTGGTTTGGTCGTGTTGCTCGGGGATGATACACCAACGGCGACAAGCTTCCTTTCCGTTCTGGTGGGAAACATGCTTGTTAAGTTGTCAGACTACAATAACAACAGGTGATGAGCAACACCAACTTGGAAGTACACAGTTGTACTTGTTCTCCTTAGACGCGGATAAGGAGAGGCCTCACCGAGAAGCAGAGACGTTGCATTTCTCACATGGAGCTTTCCCCAGACCAGACGGCGGCTGGCCTGGGCCCCGTCGTCCACTCGCTCTGGAACCGCAGAAAATGTCCGTTGCATGGCGTGGCATGATGTTAGATGCTATCTTGAGGGGGTGGTTAGGGTAGGATGAAAGAGGCGTCTCACACTCAGCGATGTGGAGGAGGGACGGGCAGGACAGGACAGACATGGAAGATGGGGACAAGATAACTGAGTTCCTTTGGATTCTTCAACCATGATCTTCCATCTTCCATGCGGTATCACCCCCGAGCCGTGAAGTTGTGGCTAGTTAAAAGTCTCCTGCCATCCCGATCTTCGATTCTCTTCCCGTCCCTCGTCCTCTTGTTCCCCACACTAGCTCTTTGGCTTTCTCGGCTCTTCCTTGATTTATCCTGGACCATCGCCGTCACCTTCTGGAGATCAAAATTCATCGAGCATCTGCAAACCAAAATACTCCGTGTAGTTGGATCCTTCAGCGGAACAAAATCTCCTGAACCTATCCACCACAACTCAGCGTCGTCGTCAGCATTACCGTCAACCACCAACTTTCCCTCATCTTCTCCAGTCTTCGGTCTCATCATCGTCCACCTCATCGTCGTCTCTCTTCTCTGAATATCGCCATTCACTCCCCCGGACTTCTGCTCCTTCGTGGGCCCGTCGGGTCCGTCGCATTCCACACGTGCGTTCAGTTGTCGACCGCCAGGGCTGCAGCTGGCCAACCCATTGAACCCAACCCATCCACACTTCCCAATCCCACCCCTCCCTCGCTCGAGGTCGAGCTCCCCCCCGTCTAGCCGTTCACCCGGTCTCCAGTGTCGAGGGTGCACCGCTGTTGCTACGTGGAACACCCTGCTCCGGGGCGCCCAACTTAAAACGACATAACGCCGCGAAGAAAAAGTCGAAGGACGTTGATGACCAGACCCGAAACGCGAAACATATTCAGATTAGAAAATCAGGGGAAATAATCTGCAATTCTCTTTCTTCACAAAAGAGTCAGAAAAGGACAGGTCCAACGGGATTCTCAACATAGCACCACCGCCACAACCACCACGCAAGCCTCAAAGGCCAACAAAATCCAACCAAAGCTACGGACGAGCTACTCAAAGTACAAGCTACCATACGAATACCTACCAGTCGCAGGGAGCGAATAGCCGGTTCGAATCAAGATAGCGTCTCTGGCTAGCGGCAGCCTCTTTCTGCCTCTAGGCTCAAGGTCCCGTCTACCTTTCTCGCTGCATCTCATCTTGCAGCTGCCTCTCCAGGCTCTCTTGTCCAACACTCATCCAGCAATACGAAGAGGTACACATCGACTTTGGGTGTCTCTCAGTCTCCGGTTCCGTCTTGGTAGACGGCGTGCATTAGCCTCGTTTTGCGCAGTCTCGACTTGTCGACGGTACGTCTCCGTGCACTGCGTTAGCTCCCATTCGCATTCGTCGCCTCAAGGCTCCAGGCTTAGGAGTAAAGGTCAAGGGTACGTAGCTCGGTTTCCTCATTACGTCAGTGACGTTCCTCGCCCGTTGGCAGTTACTTCCCGTCCGTCCACCTTGTTGTTTTGTTCTTTCCTTTCCCGGCCAGGTACATCTCTCACTCTCATCCTCACCCTCACCCTCATCTCATTCTCACTTTCCCCCTCTCATCTCACTCGTGGCCCCAAACAGCTGGTCATCTGAAAGTCAGGGTGAGAGGGCTAGAGAGAAAGAGAGAGAGAGAGAGAATTGGATGAGTGAGTGAATGAGAGAATAAGTGAGTGGGCTGGGCCGTTCCGCGAATGGCGTCACCTTCAAAACCACACTTGCTTCATTGCAGTCCGTCATTCCCCAACCCATCCATACCTTGCGCAGGAAGGAGACGGTTTCCATCATTATATCCTCACAGTTCCACTTCCCATGCTCTTCAGGCTCTTTGCAGTTGCAATACGTCCCGAGAGCTTCCACACCCCTGGACCATCCAACAGCCCATCATCATCAGCCTTCACCCCAGTCGAGCCCGTCCAATTCCCTCCGGGCCAATCCCGCTGCTCCATCCACATTTTCACACTCGCAGCTCTCCCGGTCAGTGACAGTCCAGTCAAATTTCAGCATCCACCGCGCCCACATCACATCCACTTCACCCTCACCTTAAACTCGCACTAAAGTACAATCCCCGTCCTGTCCTGTCCCATCCCATCCCGTCCAATCCCACCCTCTCATCGTGACTTTTTTTTTCCGCCCAGGGTTGAGTGTGAGAGACGAAAAAAAAGTTTGAGAAAAAAAAGACCGAGAGAGCGGCATTCCCACCCCACTTTGGAATATTCTCGAGAAAACGTTGCATGCCGAAACATCGTGGAGAAGACAGAAGAATCAGAAGAGGAACACAAGACAAACGCTTCACGATACTCTCTGTACAGACACAACAGAGTAAACACAAACGCTACTCCGTACCCGTCATTCTATCCTCACTTCTTCTGTTTCCACCATTTCCTTCCCTCCCCACCACCACCACCCCGATCGATTCCTCGCAGCTGCATCGCTCACTGGCCCAACCGTTTCTGTGTTTTCCCTGACGCATGCGCCTCCGCCCAGCCCAGTGTCAGCCAGTGCTACTTTACATTACGCAAGGCTCAGGCTCTGGCTGGTCCGGGGACAAGGACCAGCACTTAATTAACCAAGAAAATAAAAAAGCTCAAAGCTGACGGTACATTTTGCGCAGCTCCCAGCAACACAGCAAGCAGCAGCAGCAGCCACAGCAACTAATACCTTACAATCGCACAGCTCCCGGCAGCTCTTTATTTCCAAATTCTCCCTCGCCTCATCTTCCCGTCCTTTTACATCCTCACTTTTCTTACCTGACCTAAAGGAATCCTCACTCACATTTCACCTACGGCTGTGTCTGAGACAAGCATCAATCCAATCACCTCTCACTGCTCTCCCACATTTCACCTCAGCCACACACACACACACCCCTCCGTCTGTTCATCCACCATCCCGTCCTTTTGTAGGGCCTTTTCCAGAAATTGGTACCTTGCTACAAACGAACAACGTCACCTCGCCTTCGGTTCCTCTCCCTCGCCTTGACAACGGAGAAACCTCTCAACCCAGGACATATCAACTTCATCTGTTCAACCACACACCACTTCGACTCTTCCCACATGTTCTGCCTTACGAAAAGCTGCTAGTAGCTACCCATTTCCTCCGCCTCAACCTCGTTAACTTTTACTCAACCTCCATCCCTTGCCATCACTCGGCGGCCTCTTCCAAACCGGACCATCCACCTCTCCGAGGCCTTTTCCACTTTCACACAACACAGACGGCTAGCCACTAGCCAGATTGCCCAACATGACGGTATTTATCGCATCATTGTAAGCTCTCCTTTGCCTCAAGATTATGACAGCCTTGTTTTACCTACCCATCCGCCACCATCAACGTCAACGAAGCATCTGCCAGGATAACCCTCTCTGCGCACATGCTTCCCATGCAACCGTCCAAGACTTCCACCGGCTGCTGAGCTTCAATCTTGATCGCCTTGTCATGCAAGATCAGAAACTAATATGACGACGTCCAGATTCCTCCCTAAAACCGTCCACTTCGCTCTCCCGGGCACGCCTCAACGTGCCGATCCTTTGCGCCGCGCCAAGAAGTCCGAAAAGTCCCAGCGTACCGAAGGCGACAGCCAGCCCAGTCTCTTCAACCCGATCCGCGACATTACACCTCCCATCACCCCGACCGAAGACGTTGTCCCGAAAGATCCCTTCACGAACGAGGACGGTTTCCGTATATTCCCCGACGAAGAGCGCAAGCGTGGTGCGCCCATCGACAAAGGTTCTCCCAAGTGGGGTGCTAGAGCCACCCAGCCAAAGTCCCGCGCGAGCTCGCCCCCGCCTGCCTTCATCGCCGAGCATAGTCGCACCCTCGAGAAGGCCAGAGAACTTGGTCGTCAGGGCATCACCCAGCCTAGGCCGCTCGTTAGAAGCGACAGCCATGACCGGGTCTTTTCCCACGCCAACTGGCGTGTTATGAACGCTGACCAGGGCAACGGTGGTTTGCGCAACGCCGCCGAGGCCGCTGCCCGCAATGGCAAGCTTGGAGAATACACTTGGGTTGGCACTCTTGGCATGCCCACCGACGCCCTCGAGGGTACCCAGCAGAAGCAGGACATCGAGGACAGGCTCGCCACCGAGCACGATATGCTGACCGTCTTCTGCTCCGACAAGGACTTTGACGGCCACTACTCGCACTTTTGCAAGCAGATTCTCTGGCCTGTCTTCCACTACCAGATCCCCGACAACCCCAAGAGCAAGGCCTTCGAGGACCACTCATGGAAGTACTACGTCAACGTCAACCAGGCCTTTGCCGATAAGATTGTTAAGAACTGGAAGCGTGGCGACGTTATCTGGGTACACGACTACCACCTGCTGCTCGTCCCCGGCATGGTGCGCAAGAAGCTGCCCGATGCCAAGATTGGCTTCTTCTTGCACGTTGCTTTCCCCTCTTCCGAGGTTTTCAGATGCTTGGCCGTGCGCAAGCAGCTTCTCGAGGGCATGCTGGGTGCCAACCTGATTGGCTTTCAGATCCACGAGTACACCCGCCACTTCTTGCAGACCTGCAGCAGATTGCTGAGTGTCGAAGCGACCACTGACGGACTGCAGTTGGAGGACCGTTTTGTCGACGTGGTTAACTTGCCCATCGGCATTGATCCTGTCAACCTTAGCGAACACCGCGGCGACAACGATGTGAAGAGATGGGTCGAGATCATTAAGGAGCGCTACCAGGGCAAGAAGCTCATTGTAGCTCGCGACAAGCTCGACCACGTTCGCGGCGTTCGTCAGAAGCTTCTATCCTACGAGCTGTTCCTGAACAAGAATCCCGAATGGCGCGACAAGATTGTCCTTATCCAGGTCGCCCTCTCTGGCAGCGAAAAGTCTGATTTGGATGCGACTGTTAGCGACATTGTCACCCGAGTCAACTCTTCCTGGGCCAACCTGGCCTACCAACCCGTCGTCTACTTGAAGCAGGATATCGACTACCCCCAGTACCTTGCCCTGTTGACCATGGCCGATGCGCTGATGATCACGAGCCAGCGCGAGGGCATGAACCTGACATCGCACGAGTATCTCTTCTGCCAAGATGGCGAGGTCTTCTCCGAGAAGAAGCACGGTTCACTAATTTTGTCCGAATTTACTGGCACATCGTCGCTATTTGGCGGCAACGAGCTTTCGGTCAACCCCTGGGACTACCGCCAATGCGCAGACGCCATCAAGACAGCACTGGAGATGGGCGAGGAAGAGAAGGAACGCCGATGGACTGCGCTCTACTCGGCCGTCATGCACCACACCGGATCGCACTGGTTCAGCGAATTCTTGTCCCGCCTCGACCGCGTGTACGACGAGCAACACAAGCACGACCAGACTTCGGTCCCGCGTCTTAACATCAACACTCTAGCTCAGCGATACTCTCGCAGCAATCGACGCCTCTTTATCCTCGACTATGAAGGCACTTTGGTTAGTTGGGGCCCGATGAACCAGATCATCCCTGTCAGCCCTCAGGTAAGAATCTTTTCAAGAATCTCTGCTTTATTAACAAGTCTAATTGGAGCAGCGTACCTTGGATGTCTTGAACGAGCTTCTGCTCGACGAGCGCAACACCGTCTATATCATGTCCGGCCGCCGCCCCGAAGAGCTCGACCGATTGTTCCGCCGCGTCCCCAACCTCGGTCTCATTGCCGAGAATGGCTGCTTCCTAAAAGACTGCGGCAAGAACACCTGGCAGGAGATGGCCGACAGAGAGCAGATCTCCAGCTGGAAAGAGTCCGTCAAGTCCATCATGACTTACTTCCTTGAGCGTACCCCCGGCGCCGAAATCGAAGAGCGACGCTGCAGCTTGATTTTCCACTACAAGAGCGCCGAGGATTACGAGTCCGCGGCCCGCCAGGCTGGAGACTGTGCCAGCCATGTCAACGATGCATGCGAGGCACAGCGTGTTCACGCCATTCCTCTCGATGGCTCCATTGTCGTTGAGCCCATTGACTGGACCAAGAGCACCGCTGCAGAGAAAATCTTCGATGATCTCCGCGTCCACATGGCCCCTGACTCGGAACACAAGAGCCCCGTTGACTTCCTCATGGTCGTTGGTGACGGGCGTGAGGATGAGAAGGTGTTCAAGTGGGCCAACGCCCTTGGCGAAGACAAGGTTGTCGAGGATGTTGTGACTGTCAGCTTGCACAGCCGCAATACTGAGGCTGGTGCGACGTTGACACAAGGTGTGAGCGGTAAGTTGGTTATTCCTCTACTCAGTGTCGAATTCAAATACTCATTGTGACTAGGTGTCTTGTTGGCTCTCCAGAAGCTTGCTACTACTCAGTAAGGGAAGGTCTTACCAGGGCTATGGTGAAGTCGAGCGAATGGCTCTGCGCTGTGAACCCTGCGCTGCCAACATTGGGGCGCACAACATTTGATCGTAATTGACCTGGCTATGCCACCAGGCGAATGATACCACAGTGGGATAGCATGGAGAGACGGAGTGCAAAGGCGTATAAAACAGGGAGCAAGGGTTTTACTTTTTCCTTTTTTTTTTTTCCTTTTGGACTCTTTCCTACCGGCGAAGGAAGGATCACGAACATGGCATTTGGGAAACGATGACGACTGCATTGGCATGCATCATACGCATACGAGGGGCGACTCTCGCAAAGGAATATTTCCTAATGTCTTTTTTTCTCTTTCTCTTTTACTCTTTCCAGTTCCGGTTTCTTCTTCAGTACCACACACACCTCACGAGTTAACGCTTAGTTATGTTCGCTGCCTGCGGATTTTAACGTGAAGCTTGTGACGATGCAGATGACTGACCTTGAGACGTTTACCACTATTCCGAGTACACAACCCCCTACTCTGCTGTATTATCAAATTCTTGTTGTTGCGTATCGTGTGTAATCGGGGGCTAAGGGTTGAGACAAGCCCCCCTGGTACCATTGGGGTACCTGTCCGTGTATTTGTACGAAGTGAGACGAGGAAAGACGCATGAAGATTAGAAGAGATGCAGAGGTTAGAATCGGGGCTTAGGTAGCATCATACCAACCAATTGTCGATGATGGCGAGTCGGCTACCAAGCTACCCATATATACGTTTATCATGAGTGATGTGTATCATGTGTATCGTGATGAATAAATCCCAACCCTATCACCGCCCTTTTACAACTTTGCTAGCACGTTCCGATGCCATAGTCTCATCAACGGCCCGTCTACTCCATATACCGGATCCCGTTCCGGCATGCCTACATCTCTGATGACGGGGCTGAAGGTGCCGGCTGGCTTTTTGCCCATTTCATTCACCCATCTTGGGCAACCCTAGACGAAGTGTATAGTTGTAAGCTAAATGCCTTGTGCGTTTGTGTTGTGTGGCTATAGAGAAGGATAAAATGCGGCTGAAGATATTTGGTCTATGCCTATAGAAAAGAACAGGGCAGGGTAGCATGATTCAGACGGAGGTTGATAAGGAATCAAGGATAAGTATGGCGTGAACTTGAGTAACTTGTAAAATTGACTGACCTCGGGATAGACGCCGATATATCGATAATCTTCCGAGCTCTCCAGACAAGAATGTGCCGTGCCCGCGGGGAGGACGATGACGTCGCCTGTCGACACGGAGATTTCTTGGCCTGTACCTTCGTTGATTTTGCCGATTAGGAGGGTTGAGTGGCCGCTGAAGATGCCTGCGTAACGGTCAGATGCTTGTTTAGAGCTTCCTCGTTCGCGGTTTGAGATCGAGTAGAAGTGGTGTAGGGAGGAAGGGCAGGGTGTTATTCGGGATGATGAGCTTGGTTGGACGTACCGTAGCACTCGTGGCTGTTTGGGTGGAAGTGGCGGATGGGGATGTGGCCCCAGGTACCCTTTTGCGGGGGACGCGGAAGTGTTAGTTGAGAATGGATGTTTTACTCTCACTAGATATCTGAGGCACGTATCGTAACAGTGACAAGAGATCTTGGAAAAGGGAAGGGTAGCCGAAAGGGAGAGTTGAGGTCTAGGTTGCACATTGTGATGTGATCATGACAGACTCACCCTCTTCTCCCACCGGTTCCGGGTCAGAAACTCTGTCACCGACTCCTCGTTCCGGGGTTCCGGGAGAACGTTCCTGTAGTGGATTACGGGGAGGGGGCTATTCGGGGCGTCTGGGTTGGATGAGAGGAGGTAGCATTCTACTTCCATTGATGAAGCCATGGCTTGTTTTGAGAGCCTGGTGAGTTGCGGAATGGGTGTTAGTCAAGACGAGAGAGATGACGCTTGGGTGGATGATTTCGGGGAACTAAGAGGGGAGGGGAGGGACCAAGTCTCTATTCTTTACAGGGTCTGTCTACTTTGGAGCCTGTAGGTACGTAAGGTAGGTATTACAGATGATATCTCAACTCCGGGGCGGAAGAGCAGGGAAGAATTACTCGATTCGGCAAGTTGATTTGCTTACCATCTCCTTGCCCGCTATCGGTCGGAGCGAAGCCAACCCTTGTTACTAGACTCAACTGTCAACAAAAGGCGGGGGAATGGAGGGGTTTGGAGGGGATGGACTGTAGTGGAGGGGGGAACACCTTGACAGGCGGTTCATTGTCCCCGTGGGCCACGGAGATACCGGTCCGTCCCCACTTCGACTTTCGTCCTGCACAGTGACACATGTCCGGGCCGTGTTCCGCTTCAGACGATGAGATGTGATTTTGGGTGTGAGACTGCTAAGTTATTGGAGACTTTGGCTTTCATTTGGCTTGTTCTCGGTGAAGCTGGGACACGATCGCTGGTAAGAGGGTGAATGACAGCACGAGATTGGTGAGTCTGGGGTAAGACGGGGATGATTGGCTGGGGATGGGGGAGATGTACACTTCAAGGGGTAGCTTTTGGGGAATATAAGGGCGGTTTGCTTACATAAACGTGGAAAACACCAAAGCCGCAAGTTAGGTAAGTACCATATAAGTGCAATCTTTATCATGATCGTACCGAGTTGTAGTTGAACTAGGATCAACAACGTGGAGGGCTCAGTCCGGGATGTCCTTCATTAAGCCTCGAGACTTTTGCGCGGCGTCGCGAGGTTGCAATATATGTGTCGTCTTGATACCCTTGAGCCTCGATACACAACGACATGTCTATAATCAACTCACAGAGTCTCAAAAAAAAGTGTGTCCCGTCTTCATCAACATGGACAAGCATGCGACTATTCAGTTCGTTTACCCTTTTTCTGCCCTTACTAGTATTCACAGACACACCAAGTGAAATTGAAGCCATGGATCAGAGGCTTGAATGCCTATGTCTCCAAATGCTACTCGTCTCGATTTCCCTCGCCGCTTCACGAATCACCCCTTTGTGGTGGACCTTCCTCTCATAGATTTCTTTTTGTTTTAGACCACTTTCAGTGCCCGGTATTACTTCATATCCATATCTGGTCATTACAGCTGTCGCTAGATGCAGTTGGCATCATTTCTCTAACTTCTGGTATTTCCGCAAGACCTATGCTAGCAGAGTCCCGTCGCGGTTGTATGAACAGTGCACATATAAGAAACTAGCTATAATTGTCTTACTCCTAGACCGGGACCATAACACTGGGCCTTAGAGCCTCAATGGTCTGAATGCTCTCAGCAGACGCACAAGTCTGTTCTTTGACGACATCTGACACTCCCTTCTTTCCAGACTCCTCCATGTTGCTCGGTATCTTTAATTCCCCTTCAACATACTGCTTCTGTTCGTGAGCCTGAGGGACAAACGCAACCGCTCCTGGCGGTAGAGCCTCGGCCTTCTGCAGGTAGAAACTGAGATCAGAAGACCTGTGAGGGATGGTAGTCATGGATGTCGCATACTCCCGTTGCTCGATACCGAGTGGGTCCTTCTCGGGCTGCTCGATCCAGGAAAAGCCCTCGCGCCAGTAAGAGTATCTTTCGCCATCGTAGCGCCACTCGTAGTCTTCCCACCGGTCTTCGGCCAAGCATTGCATGTAGTGGAGGGAACTTCCTGGCCAGAGGGCGCTGACTTTCCCTGTGATGCCCTTCTTGACTATTGGTACGCACCGTCAGTGATTGCAATCATCTCGAGTTGAGGGTTGGGCTGGTGCCCCGAGGTTTTTGTTTTCTTACACCAACTGCGGCATGTGCCCGTCCACACCATATTCTTCATGAACTCTTGAGTATGCTTATCGAAGTCGCTTTGCACTTCTGGTCTCACATCAAAGGATTTGACGCGCTGTCTGATGACCTTTGAGAGGATTCTGATAAAGTAATCTCCCGTCGCTTCGATGGGTCCTGAAAGTATCTTAGTCATCGCTCAACAACAATGGCATCTTCTCAAAAGACGACGTACCCATGAGACTTCCGTTTGAAATGGGTGTGTTGGGGCCTAGGAAGACCATGTAATTGGGGAACCCAGAGACCCCCGTCCCGCAATATGACGTTGGCTCATCGGCCCATAGATCTTGCAAGTTGACGCCGTTGCGGCCAAGGATCGGGAAACGAGGTCGGAACGAGGTGTTGAAGCCCGTCGCAGCGATCAAAACATCGGCAGGATACTCAACACCACCCGCGACGATACCGCTGGATGTGATTTGCTCAATGCCGTCAAACACCGGCTCGACATTGGGCTCCTGTAATGTAAGTAAGTACCTCTCGCCGGGGTTGATCCGCCGGCAACCCGCTTCGAACTTGGGAACGAGTTGATCCTGCAAGGTTTTGTCTTGAATAAGGCTCCTCATTCTCGTCTCGAATCGCTGACGCATGGTCCTCTGCTCTGGATTCGCCTTGAAAAAGGCCTGAAACATGCCGTTGAACTGCGATTCAAGACCCTTTCTGGTCTCAAGATACTCTCTTTCGTCATCTCTGAACGCCTTCTTCTCATCTGTGCCGTATGTGTGTCCGGGACGATTTGCCTCCGGCAGGGCAACCGGCGGAGAGATCCACGACGGTGTCCGGATGAAGACGCTGATCTTGCTGGCTTCTGATTGGATCTCGGGAAGAAGTTGAACGGAACTCGCACCCGCCCCAATAACACCGACTCGTTGACCGCTTAGGTTTACGGATGAATCCCAGTTAGCCGTGTGAAGCACGGGTCCAGCGAAGTTTTTGAATCCTTCAATATTTGGCATCTGGAAGTTGTTGAGAATGCCACTGGCGTTGACGAGAATTTCTGATACGAGCGTCGATCCGTCCGCAGTATTTACGGACCATGTGCCGGAATTTTCTGACCACTCTGCTTTAGTCACTGTTGTGTTGAACCTGATGAACTTGCGCAGATCAAAATGACGTGCTACACCGTCAAGATACGCCTGAATCTCTTGGGATGAAGCGTAGCTGCGTGATAGAAGTTAGGCCTATTGGAAATAACTTATTTGAAGACATGTCATGCTTACAACCGTGACCAGTCGGGATTTGGCGCAAAGCTGAATTGATAGCAGTGACTTGGAACGTCACATGCGCAGCCTATGAGGAGTGAGCAAAGTTATTTGTGAAGGTTGTATCAGGGGGCACAAACCTGGATACTTGTTCTCAAACCAAGTCCCGCCAAGTTCTGGTGACTTTTCAAGGATCTGTATCTCAACATAGTCTTTGAGATGCTTTTGGAGTTTGTAGGCTGTGGATTCTGCTGATCAGTCATGGGAATTACAACAGTCAATAAGAATCATGAAATCTCACCCATCGAAATCCCGGATACTCTGCCGCAGTTCCATCAGTTAAAACTCTCTCTGGTAATTCATAGACCTGTTTACTCACCCGGCACCTATGATGGTTACACGAAGCCGCTGGCGATCTTGTTGGGATGTGTCATCGTTGAATTTCCTAACGTGATTACCGTTGACACGGTTTGAGGTGCCGTTGGCCTCGACATGTGATGAAGTGCCATTTGTGCTGTGTGGTGCCTTTGCCGGCGAATAGCTGCCATTCAGACAATCGTTGGCACCATTGACGGTCACATGTGTGCTACCGTTGGCAGTTGAGTCTAGTTTACCATTCGTAGTCATTGTAACGTCGTGAGTGCCCGCTAGGTATTATGATGGGTTTTAAGCAAGTGTTGCCAGGGGAGTTGGCAGGGCGTGGACCAAAAGATGACAGTATTAGGATCAAAATCAAAAAATGCAGAGATAAGTTTGATATGCCAATGATGTAGTGTCACAAGTAAATGTTTACGCAGGTAAAGTTTTGTGATAAGTCGAGAGACTGTTGTTGCATGATGTGGACAAGCAGGGCCCGAAATGGCTGCGCGTGATTAGAGTGATCGGAGACGGCCCGTGTGATGCGCGGAGTGCAGATAAGAACAAACTATACGGGCGTCGTTCCCATTGCAACATCAAACCTCCATATCCTCTAAGCAAATCGAATCTGAGACAACAATAACAAACCGATAGGCATAGAGTTTCTCAATGGCTCAAGATAGGGACGCCACGGAGGCGGACAAGGACGTTTATCTCCTGGATCGGGGTAATCCACCCGATTATATGGATCCGGAGGCCCGGACCGTCCCCACTTTCTCGGTTCCATACTCCGGCGTTCGAAGGGATGATCCCCCATTGCATACCTAGAAGCGATGGAGTAGACTCCGGAGAGCGGAGTCGTTATCATGAACAGGGATCGTGGGTATTGTTACAAATAGTGAATATTGCAACATCTTCCGCAAGCTAGTATAATCGTAAACTAAAGACGAAACTTCTTCTTACATTCTGTTAGTTCAACTGCCTGCCATACTTCAGAGCCTCTTCAACAAAAGTTGTTCGATAAGAAATTACACACACGATTTTTCTATCTTGTATCTCTGAGTATCGTTGCAAATATGAGCTGGTTCGGCCTCAGCAAACCATCCGCCGCAGCGGAACCCGACGAGCCAAAGGCCGTCCGAGCTCTGCCCGCGATATGGTACCGCTCTCCAGCCATGTACGAGCTAGAGAGGCGAGCAATCTTCTCTAAGCGGTGGATGCTCGTCTCTCACAAGGCGCGCTTCGTCGAGGCAGGCGACTTTGTGCAGGTCACCGAGGCGGGCTTCAATTTCTTCCTCGTCAAGGACCGCAAGGGCGAGATCAGGGGCCACCATAACATTTGCCGGCACCGCGCGTACCCCCTGGTGGAGAAAGACAGCGGACATATGAGCGTGCTTGCTTGCAATTATCACGGTATGTCACATGTAGCAAATAATCATCTATCAGGTCGTCTTATGCTAACGTGAGTAAATACAGCATGGTCGTATGGTTTCGACGGGAAGCTGGCCAAGGCGCCCAAGTACCAGGAGCTGCCGTCGTTCGACAAGAGCAAGAACAGTCTGTTCAAAGTTCACGTACACGTGGATCAGCTCGGCTTCGTCTGGGTGAATCTCGACGGCGCAGAGAAGCCATCGGTGCCGTGGGAGGAGTTCTTCGCCGAGGTTGACACGCAGCCACGGTTGGAGGGGTTCAACCTGGATAATTACCACTTTGATCACACGTGGGAAATGCTCGGTGATTATAACTGGAAGACTCTTGCGGACAATTACAATGAGGTGCGTTTGATATATCCTCCTTTAAGCTGCGTAGAGCTGTGGTTTTCCCTAAATCTCGAGGCTGACCGTGACAATCAAACTCAGTGCTATCATTGCCAGACTGGTCACCCTGCTGTGGCTGCTACCACTGACTTGACGAGATACTGGGTCGAGACTCAGGGAAACTGGATCCAGCACTGGAACGTTGACAAAGAGACTGTTCCTGGTCTGGGGATTCACAGCTGCTATCTCTACCCAAACGCATCTATGACCGTGACGTGAGTATCCTCCCATCTCTACTTACAAGCACCACGGCTTAACAGTCTTGTCCGTATAGACCAGACTTCATGTACATCCAACGCTGCGTGCCCGTCTCATCAACCCAATCCAAAATGGAATATGAAGTCTACCGCCACAACACAGCCACCGACGAAGCCTTCAACTTCATCTCGGACTTCTTCAAGCAGGTCCTTCGCGAAGACAAGGATCTCTGCAACGGTGCACAAAAGAACTTGAATGCGGGCGTCTTCATGAACGGAGAGCTGCACCCGCGCGTGGAAAAGGGGCCGCTCTTCTTCCAGGAGATTACGCGCAACCTGGTGATGCGGCACAAGGAGCGAGAAGACAAGGAGGGCGGCGAAATTTGGCCGGCGACGCCGAAGCACGATGTTTCTGATAAGACGGGGGAGGATGTGTCGTTTTGTCGGAGTCTTGATTGTGGGGCTGGGCAGGGGCAGATTGAGGGGTTGGCTTGGTGAGTCTGGTGATAATGGATGGTGACAGTAGAGGCCGAATTGTAGACTAGCGTTTCGTTTGCTGTTGAGTACTTTATGAGTTTGTTCAAAGCCTTGATTATGGGTTCGCAAGGATACAAATTGATTAGCGACTTTTCTGATGTGTTGATTAATCCCGATTCTTCTCGATCCGTGGTGATAACTTGATGCTGGGCAGGTATCTCGTTTCTTACCTGTAGGTAGCCTTCGGTGGTAGTGCTGGAACCGTGTGCAAGTGTAATGGGCTATGGCTTCAGCAAATCGGCGTCCAAGGGTCTTCTGACTCAGTAGACATGAGAGCTTTAGAGAGTGAAAATGAGTCGGTCCATCTAGTAGTATCAACATGGATGGAAATGAAGTCATTGTTGCTGTACGCCTTTTTGTCATGATAATGTGCTAATTCTCAAGGTTCAACCAATCGTCAATCGCTCTGCCATAATCATTCGCTTCAATAAACCGATTCGACTGATCCCCAAACGGCCCCACGCCCTCAAAGAAAATATCCTCAAACGAAGGTCCCATATCCCCCAACCCCTGTCCGACGAGATGCGACGACGCCGGGGCCTGTTCCGCAATCGACACAGGCGCAATATCGTCATTGGGAGCATACACGCCCACGTCGTTGGGCACGGCCTTGTGACCCGAGATGCCGGCTGAGCCGACGAGGTCGAACTCTGCGGCGCCCGTCTCGGTGGACAACTCCCGGGCATCGGAGCGGAGGGTGGCGCCAAACATGGACTGGTCCCAGCCTGCGTCGGGGCGGCAGGCGCGGTCGTAGATGAGGAGATCCCAGAGGAGTTGGGTGTTTATGGAAAAGGAGCGGTTTTGGGAGGTGTTGTCGCCACGGTCGGGGGGCGATTTCATCACGACGCTGTCTTGGAGGCGTCGGAGGTTGCTTGCCTTAATGATGGTTAGTCTTTCGTTATGAAGAGGCAATCAAGAACGGGGGGACTCATCGTACCATGTTGGCGACGCTTGGCCAGACGGCTCCTGTTTTCCGTAGAAAGTTCATACACTTTTCGAAGCCTGATTTTGCTCTGCTCCTGAGTACCTGGTCATGAACGAAACTGTGCTGTAGATGGATCGTCGCCACGATGACGACACAATGCGCCATGACTGGGTCTATGACCGCCAGCGACTTCTTCTCGATGACATCCAAGAAGAAGATAATCCAGCCAGCCGTCCGATTCATACTCTCAAAAGACTGCTGGATGAAATGGACGGGTATGGTGTGTCGGAAATGCCGCAGGCGCATGGACAGCAGGAAAGGGTGATTCAAGAGACACGGGATAGTCTCGTGAACGAACTGGCTGAAGAGGAAGGGAATCCAGTACTGCCGCTGCGCCTGTAGAGACTCAGGACTCTGCTGGTCGATGCGATTCGTTGCGAAGCGGAACCTCTGCGGCGCCCGGCAGTCAATATCGTGGTGACTCTGCAGGACCATGGAATAGTCGGAGCGAGAGTCCCAGGGCGGGGGCGCGTCGGGGCTGACTTTGGAGGAGGCGTAGACGCGGACCATTCTCCAGACGACGCAAAAGTCGGAGGCGACGGTGGAGATGTTCTTGTCTGGGTTGTCGTCAAGGTTGTACTCTGGGATGCCGCAGTATGCTGTGAGACCGAGGACGTGAGAGCCGCCGTTGGTGGAGGAGGAGCCCGGAAGGGCTCCCATGAGTCGCGGGGCTGGCATTATGCAGCCCTGTAGATGCTGGAGGACGATGATTGTTCTCAGGCAGTAATTTCTCTCTTGAGCGTTGTTGGGGTTGTTCGTTGGTGGGATGCTGTGTGCGAGGTGGCTTGCGGTGGTGATGCTGAGTCCAGACTGCATAATGTTCCCGCCTACGAGAGGATGTCAGCTGAGGGACGATGAAGGGAGAGTTCATTATCGGAACACGTACTAGCGAAATCAAACATGCTCAGGAGACATAGCGACTGCAGCGTTGACAGCTCGACGCGCCCTTCCGTGACCCTCTCCATGACCATGCGGCGGGCCGATCTTGCGAGGTCGTCCACCTGCTGTTTGATCTGGTTTGTGAGGGACCCTGGCGGACATCGTAGGACCAGGGCTTGGAGCGATAGTATCAGCTCCGGATCTCGCGAGGCGAGAGAATGCAGAAAGGTCTCCTCAGCGAAGAGGGTGATGGGCTGGGCGTGGAACCATAAGAGGTAGCGACGCCCTGTGTCCATCAACTGCGCCTCGGCGGCGCTTGATGGGCTTCTGGATTGTCAAGTGTGAGCAGACGTCTGGAACGAGGGAGACAATGAATCGAAAGGTCGAAATTAGACACACCTAGGACTCCAAGCTGGTGGACCCGAATCTGGTTTCGGGCCTGCTTCTTCTGCAGATACGCTTAGTCTTGGCGAGAGCACATGACGAGAGGCTACGGATGGCTGGGTAGGATGTGAGACGGGGCTACCTTATGTTAGGGTGCGTGAATACATTTGCTGCTGTATGGACAACGTTGACGAACCTCAAATGTTGGATCAAGCGGTCCATCTTGTCCTCTAGGCTATTGAGTCGGGTTTCCTAACCACGTGGACCTCGAATCAGCACTGCCGCATACTCAAGTCAAACCTAAACTTGGAAGACGAACCATCTCTCTGTTGTGCTTCGTGAGTTGCGAATCTGGCACTTCGCCGCCCGGGGCATTGTAAACGCATTGTTGTCCTAGTCGTTCACAATATGAGCATGTCGGACGCTCGCCTGGGCACTTTGACTTCTTGCGACTATCATCGTTGTTAGACTCTTATTGAATGGCAAGAACTACGGATCCTCCGTACCGACATGGCTCGCAGGCCTGACGTGCTCGTTTGGCATATCGAGCATCGTCCATCACCACAAAGGAGACGTCGTGAAGCCCCAGAGGGTAGAGGCTGGCGTTGCTGCGATAAGGTGGGTTCCTGAAGGGGAGGGTTCGGGCTCCGCAGTGAAGGATGATCCAAGACGCGTCAGTAAGATGTATTATTCCCGTACGTAGGAATGAATGAGTCGTCAAGATGTATGAGGCTACTATCGGAAGGCATGTTCCATTAGGGGAAATTCAGTCGCTATGGTAGTTGAACCCAGCCTAGTCTATGCTCTGTCTGTAATCCGGGGTCCTCGGGCTGGACTCGGACTTGAAGATAGCTCGTTAATACTTGGGCGATAAGTGGTTAAGGATTCAACCCCCCGTCTTATCGGCATGATATGGACTCGCATGGGTTTGAACCATGGATGAATGGGTGGCAGATGGGAGATGGCAGAGACTGGTATGTCCCCGCACATTTGCTTTGCAGGGAAATTGATAAACAGGCGGCCCGGGTGACACATCCCGGTCGTGGGGAAGACCCACCGCAGATAAGACTCCTCTTTGACTTTCTCCTCCTTCTCCAACTCAAGTTCGTGGACCTTCCCGTCAAGATCCGATCACGAGGTCTATTCTTACTGGTTGAAGGTTCATCTCTTCAGCTCTGCATTTCTTCAAGACACTGCCTTAAGTATTATACACCCTACTTCGAATAAGAACATCCATTTGACCTTGCTAAATGTGAACATTGCCCTCGACAACCCATGGAAACTACAGATAACTCCCTCGAAGCTAGGAAGATGAGGTTCACTATAGACGTTTCTGAAATTCCACACATTGTGGCGTTTCGAACTTGAGAATCCACAAGACACACATAGTAAGAGGCCCACGTGAAAGTTACCAACCGGGCCGTTCCGATCGATATGCCTTCCCCCGTCTGAGACCTATATCTTGGATCATGAATATCTGGGTCTACTCTATGAGTTGACAGCAACTTGAATAGACTTGAGAAGCCTCTCCAATTGGAACTGCAGAAATGTCTCGATATACTTGACACAACATGCATGCATCATACTTGGACACCAAGGAGACCCCAAGGCATTCCCCTCAACACCGCCAGAGTTCATCTGATGTACACGTGCCCTCGACCGTTTCTTCTGCAGCTGTCGCGTGTGCAAGACTAAAGGGATGACATCACACCAACTGGATGGATCCTACATTACCTACTTAATCACGAATAGTCTACCTACCGTTAAGCTGTCAAATGTTGGCTACCACCATCCCATCGGCCCCTCGCGTGTGGCAGATGCGGCCCTCCGGCAGACGGAGGCTACGCCAGGGGGTGCCCCGCCATCTCAGTAAGCCATTAGCCAATCACGACACACTAAAAGGGGCAGACGCACGACGGAGGCGGTCACCCCGCAGTCCCGAGATCGGCGCCCCTCCAAAAGTTTGAACTCTGCCCAAGCAAATCACGAAATATGACTCCTGACCCAATTTCCCCTCCACGATCAATCTTCTATTGAATTGTATTGAAACCAGCTTTACGGAGGCCATTACGTGAGATCCATAGTGGATATTGGTTTTCGTTAGCATCGAACCACATCGAATTGTTAAATCCAATTGACTTAAGAGTCACCCCGCCATCCACCCCTCCGCGAGTCCCGAACATCAACAGACTCAACGGTCCGCGAACCTACGATCCTCGGTTTCAACCACACACGATACTCACAATGGCTGCCTTCCCACCCCCTCCAGTTAACACCATTGACTGGTCCAATGTTGGCTTCAAGATCCGCGAAGGTGAGAGCTTCCTCCGAATGCTGCCACTCCTTCAACCCCTCCTCTCTTGCAACGCTCGTCTTCGTCAAAGAACCACGGACTAACGTCGTCAACTACAGTCAACGGCCACATCGAGTCCACCTACTCCGTCACGACCGGAAAATGGACCCCCCTCAAGTTCGTCGCCGACCCCTTCATGCGCATTCACGGCATGGCACCCGCCCTCAACTACGGCCAACAAGCATACGAAGGCCTCAAGGCCTTCCGCGCCCCGGGTGACAAGCAAATCAACATCTTCCGCGCCGACAAGAATGCAAAACGCCTCCAGCACTCCGCCGACGTCGCCTCCATGCCCCGCGTCCCTGAAGACCTCTTCGTCGCCGCCGTGAAAGCCGCCGTCTCCCTCAACGCCGGCTACGTCCCACCTCACGAGACCGGCGCCGCCATGTACATCCGCCCCCAGCTCTACGGCTCCTCCGCCCAGCTGGGCCTCAGCCCGCCCGAGGAGTACGTTTTCGCCGTGTTTGTCATCCCCACGGGCGTCTACCATGGCAGCCACCCTGTCAACGCGCTGATTCTCGACGACTTTGACCGCGCTGCGCCGAACGGTACCGGACACGCCAAGGTGGGCGGAAACTACGCGCCC